CGGTGGGGTGGGGGAGAAAAGGTGGCCTTTTAAACTGTCTTTACGATCACAAGGATGTTTCTCTTGTACAGTGAATGGAATCTAAGAAGTCACTTGCTTCCTAACAAGAAAAGAAATTGCCAAAGTACCGGAGATGCAGCCTGAAGTGTCAGACCAGTCATTGGGAGCTAGTTCTAAGCTCCTAAAGGACAGTTAAACACTCACTTTATTTGGGCCACTGTTAGAGAACACAGAAGTTCTTTGCTACTTTGTTTTCGGTGACATCTCAACTTGCTAAAATATGCAGATATAAAACTGTTTGCTGGAAATCTTCCTTAATGAATGAAAGCATCAGATGTATCTAGAAGAGTGCCAGCTCTGAATCAAGGACATAACTAATTGCCTATGCCAGTTCAGTAGAAAATTTGCACACAGATTTTTCCCTTCAAATAGATGGAAAGACATAACTGTGCTACACAGAAAATCCTCAAACATGTTTTACCCATTCACTGTAAAAAGACTGTTTACAGACATTGCAAATTTTTGCTAAAAGACAACTAACCTGTATTCTGTTACTGGAGTACCTAACAACTGCACCAGGGTACAAAGGTGCCCTCTCATCATTGGAAATCAACAAGTCACCAAGAGATAAATCCTTTTTAAGCTGTATCTATTTGCACGTTACATGAGAGTGTGCTTATGCATGACTACTTCTGTACATGCATGTACCACAGCTGTGAATGTAATTATCTGTAGCTACTACAATGCATGCTTTAAAAACAACAACAACCAATTTTGGCACATCAGCAAGTATACACACATTAAACCCCTGCCTTAATAACACCTGAGCATTTTCTCAAAGGGCATCCAGCAATATGATTCACACCTATCATGTTATTTGTTCCTCTGCCCTTTTCCATGGCTGAGAAGAATGTTTGAGGGATTAAGATGAAGGGATCTGTTGTTTTGGTTTGGTTTGTTTTTTTTTTTATTTTTTTTCTCCCCCCCCCCCCCCAAAAAAAAAAAAAAAAAAGGCCCTGGCTGGAGCTCCTCTGCCTCGGAAATAAATAAGGGCGATGCCGTGGGCCTGTGGTGGGGGGTGCAGGTCCCGCTCTGGAGGGTTTT